TCTCTCAACTCGGGTACTTGCTTGAAATATTAACTTCAACTCCTGGAACATCTCATATGGTTCATGACGTTCAAAACATCTTTGAAGTCCCAATTCTAAGCCATTAAGCATGGTGCACTAAACTATCAAGTAGTCATCATATTGAGCTAGCCAAACGTTCATAACGTCTGCATCTGCTCCTGCAATAGGTCTGTCACCTAGCGATGTATCAAGGACATAATTCTTCTGTGCAGCAATGAGGATAAACCTCAGATCACGGATCCAATCTGCATCATTTCTACTAACATCTTTCAACACAATTTTCTCTAGGAACATATCAAAATAAACACAGGGAATCAACAACGCGAGCTATTGATCTACAACATAATTTGCAAAATACTACCAGGACTAAGTTCATGATAAATTTAAGTTCAATTAATCATATTACTTAAGAACTCCCACTTTGAAAGATATCCCTCTAATCTTCTAAGTGATCACGTGATCCAAATCAACTAAACCATGTCCGATCATCACGTGAGACGGAGTAGTTTCATTAGTGAACATCACTGTGTTGATCATATCTACTATATGATTCACGCTCAAACTTTCGGTCTCCGTGTTCCGAGGCCATATCTGTATATGCTTGGCTCGTCAAGTATAACCTGAGTATTCTGCGTGTGCAACTGTTTTGCACCCGTTGTATTTGAACGTAGAGCCTATCACACCCGATCATCACATGGTGTCTCAGCACGAAGAACTTTCGCAACGGTGCATACTCAGGGAGAACACTTCTTGATAATTAGTGAGAGATCATCTTAAAATACTACCGTCAATCAAAGCAAAATAAGATGCATAAAAGATAAACATCACATGCAATCAATATAAGTGATATGATATGGTCATCATCATCTTGTGCTTGTGATCTCCATCTTCGAAGCACCGTCGTGATCACCATCGTCACCGGCGCGACACCTTGATCTCCATCGTAGCATCGTTGTCATCTCGCCAATCTTATTCTTCCACGACTATCGCTACCGCTTAGTAATAAAGTAAAGCATTACAGCGCGATTGCATTGCATACAATAAAGCGACAACCATATGGCTCCTGCCAGTTGCCGATAACTCGGTTACAAAACATGAACATCTCATACAATAAAATTTAGCATCATGTCTTGACCATATCACATCACAACATGCCCTGCAAAAACAAGTTAGACGTCCTCTACTTTGTTGTTGCAAGTTTTACGTGGCTGCTACGGGCTTAAGCAAGAACCAATCTTACCTACGCATCAAAACCACAATGATAGTTTGTCAAGTTGGTGCTGTTTTAACCTTCGCAAGGACCGGGGGTAGCCACACTCGATTCAACTAAAGTTGGAGAAACTGTCACCCGCTAGCCACCTTTGTGCAAAGCACGTCGGGAGAACCGGTCTCGCGTAAGCGTACGCGTAATGTCGGTCCGGGCCGCTTTGTCCAACAATACCGCCGAACCAAAGTATGACATACTGGTAAGCAGTATGACTTATATCGCCCACAACTCACTTGTGTTCTACTCATGCATATAACATCAACACATAAAACCTGGGCTCGGATGCCACTGTTGGGGAACGTAGTAATTTCAAAAAAAATTCCTACGCACACGCAAGACCATGGTGATGCATAGCAACGAGGGAAGAGTGTGATCTACGTACCCTTGTAGACCGACAGCAGAAGCGTTAGCACAACGCGGTTGATGTAGTCGTACGTCTTCATGGCCTGACCGATCAAGCACCGAAACTACGGCACCTCCGAGTTCTAGCACACGTTCAGCTCGATGACGATCCCCGGACTCCGATCCAGCAAAGTGTCGGGGAAGAGTTCCGTCAGCACGACGGCGTGGTGACGATCTTGATGTACTACCGTCGCAAGGCTTCGCCTAAGCACCGCTACAATATTATCGAGGATTATGGTGAAAGGGGGCACCGCACACGGCTAAGAATATGATCACGTGGATCAACTTGTGTCTCTAGAGGTGCCCCCCTGCCCCCGTATATAAAGGAGCAAGGGAGGAGGAGGCCGGCCCTAGGAGGGGCGCACCAAGTGTGGAGTCCTACTAGGACTCCCTAGTCCTAGTAGGATTCCACCTCCCATATGGAATAGGAAAAGAGGAAGGGAAAAGGAGAAGGAAGGAAGGGGGCGCCCCCCTTCCCTAGTCCAATTCGGACCAGACCAAGGGGAGGGGTGCGGCCACCCTTGAGGCCCTTTTTCTTCTTTCCCGTATGGCCCAATAAGGCCTAATGCGTATTCCCGTAACTCTCCGGTACTCTGAAAAATACCCGAATCACTCGGAACCTTTCCGATGTCCGAATATAGTCGTCCGATATATCGATCTTTATGTCTCAACCATTTCGAGACTCCTCGTCATGTCCCCGATCTCATCCGGGACTTCGAACTCCTTCGGTACATCAAAACTCATAAACTCATAATATAACTGTCATCGAAACCTTAAGCGTGCGGACCCTACGGGTTCAAGAACAATGTAGACATGACTGAGACACGTCTCCAGTCAATAACCAATAGCGGAACCTGGATGCTCATATTGGCTCCTACATATTCTACGAAGATCTTTATCGGTCAGACGCATAACAACATACGTTGTTCCCTTTGTCATCGGTATGTTACTTGCCCGAGAATCGATCGTCGGTATCTTAATACCTAGTTCAATCTCGTTATCGGCAAGTCTCTTTACTCGTTCCGTAATACATCATCTCACAACTAACTCATTAGTTGCAATGCTTGCAAGGCTTATGTGATGTGCATTACCGAGAGGGCCCAGAGATACCTCTCCGACAATCGGAGTGACAAATCCTAATCTCGAAATACGCCAACCCAACATTTACCTTTGGAGACACCTGTAGAGCTCCTTTATAATCACCTAGTTACGTTGTGACGTTTGGTAGCACACAAAGTGTTCCTCCGGCAAACAGGAGTTGCATAATCTTATAGTCATAGGAACATGTATAAGTCATGAAGAAAGCAATAGCAACATACTAAACGATCGGGTGCTAAGCTAATGGAATGGGTCATGTCAATCACATCATTCTCCTAATGATGTGATCCCGTTAATCAAATAACAACTCTTTGTCTATGGTTAGGAAACATAACCATCTTTGATTGACGAGCTAGTCTAGTAGATGCATACTAGTGACATTCTGTTTGTCTATGTATTCACACATGTATTATGTTTCCAGTTAATACAATTCTAGCATGAATAATAAACATTTATCATGAAATAAGGAAATAAATAATAACTTTATTATTGCCTCTAGGGCATATTTCCTTCATCTATGGGGTGCCCCCCTCCCCGTCTATAAAGGAGTGGAGAAGGAGGGAGGGCCGGCCCTCTATGGCGCGCCCTAGGGGAGTCCTACTCCCACCGGAGTAGGATTCCCCCCTTCCAAGTAGGAGTAGGACAGGAAGGAAGGAGGAGAGAGGGAGGAAGGAAAGGGCCCCCCCTCCCAATTTGGATTGGGCTTGGGGGGGGGGCTCCTAGGCCGCCTCCTTCTCTCTCCCACTAAGGCCCATACACTCCCGAGGGGGTTCCGGTAACCTTCCGGTACTCCGGTAAATGCCCGAACTCATCCAGAACCATTCTGATGTCCAAACATAGTCATCCAATATATCGATATTTATGTCTCGACCATTTCGAGACTCCTCGTCATGTCCGTGATTATATCCGGGACTCCGAACTACCTTCGTTACATCAAAACACATAAACTCATAATATCAATCGTCACCGAACGTTAAGCATGCGGACCCTACGGGTTCGAGAACTATGTAGACATGACCGAGACTCATCTCTGGTCAATAACCAATAGCGGATCCTGGATGCTCATATTGGTTCCTACATATTCTACGAAGATCTTTATCGGTCAAACCGCATAACAACATACGTTGTTCCGTTTGTCATCGGTATGTTACTTGCCCGAGATTCGATCGTCGGTATCATCATACCTTGTTCAATCTCATTACTGGCAAGTCTCTTTACTCATTCCGTAATGCTACATTTCGTAACTAACTCATTAGTTACATTACTTGCAAGGCTTGTAGTGATGTACATTACTGAGAGGGCCCAGAGATACCTCTCCGATAATCGGAGTGACAAATCCTAATCTCGATCTATGCCAACTCAACAAACATCATCGGAGACACCTATAGAGCATCTTTATAATCACCCAGTTACGTTGTGACGTTTGATAGCACACTAAGTGTTCCTCCGGTATTTGTGAGTTGCATAATCTCATAGTCATAGGTCATAGGAACATGTATAAGTTATGAAGAAAGCAATAGCAACAAACTAAATGATCATAGTGCTAAGCTAACAGATGAGTCTTGTCCATCACATCATTCTATAATGATGTTACCCCGTTCATCAAATGACAACACATGTCTATGGTCAGGAAACATAACCATCTTTGATTAACGAGCTAGTCAAGTAGAGGCATACTAGGGACACTTTGTTTGTCTATGTATTCACACATGTACTAAGTTTCCGGTTAGTACAATTCTAGCATGAATAATAAACATTTATCATGATATAAGGAAATATAAATAACAACTTTATTATTGCCTCTAGGGCATATTTCCTTCATTTTGGCCATTAATAGTCATTGCAGATCCATGAATGATCTAGAGAAGCCGAGGGAGAGGCCGGGCAAATTCTTGTCCGTGACACAGTATGTAAACAAAGTTCACGTGTTTTGTCAATGCTGATCTTGGATATATTATTATTATGCGTTTAGTTACCATAAAGATTATGTATGTCGACACATTCGATTCATGTTTCCCTATTGTGTTCCTAAATTATGAGTTCCATGAAATCCCACATCTTAATATGCACATTTATAGTACAAAAATGTATGTAGTGATTTACATTTGCACTACATTTCAGTCCAAGATATGATCATAATCGAATATGGTAAAATAAATACTAATCAAGTCGACTCGTAATAAATATGTACATGAAAATCCTAATAACAAGATCATCGCGGCTGGATAGCAGTTATCGAGGCATAGTTGATCGACTTATGAGAAACCAACGGTTCACTCCTTAACATGGCCGATGGCGCTAACAATGGGACGTTTCTCACCGGCCTAGATGGTGCTGGCAGGCTCATTTGTTCACTGACGAGCATTAGAAGGACATTTGACATGGTTGGTCGAATGTCGGGGTCATCTTGCACGCAGAGGAGGCCGACTTGGAAGCAACGCCATGCCTCGTCCCTTGAGTAAGATTGCCCAAGTGCACGGTCAATAAATTCATTTGCCCGATCTTCAATCCAGAACTTCCATGCCTGCCAAAAAGGAAGTTCAGTTGACGAGATGAAGCATTTTAGCAGATTATTCTATGGTCCTAGAATAGAGTTTTAAATGTCCATACATCTTGGATGAGGGATTGTCGGTGCTCCTCAAGGTATGACATGCTATTCCGTTGTCCACTCAAGATCTCTAGTAGGAGGACTCCAAAGCCAAAAACATCTGATTTTGCTGAGAAGACACTATCCATCACAAATTCCGGTGCCATGTACCCACTGCATTAATAATTCAACTTGGGGTTAATAGCATATAAATGTAGCATTTCATGGTTGTAACCTACCAATAGTAGCTTGTGATTGCTAGTTACTAGGTCCCGACGATGTGTCCCGTGTTGACACCATTGCATTCGTCCTTGAAGATCCTAGCCAAGCCAAAGTCGGAGATCTTGGGGTTCATCTTGTTGTCGAGGAGAACATTACTTGGCTTGAGGTCTCGGTGAATGACCTTGAGCAGTGAGTCCTCATGGAGGTAGAGCAACCCACGGGCAATGCCGATGATGATGTTGTGCCTGCTATTCCAGTCTAGCTCGGCGCTCTTGCTGGTGTCTAAAAATTTCAATACCACATGGATATCACAAGTGATGAATTAGCTCATCAAGGATACAATTAAAAATTTGATACTATTGTTGATTAATATTATTTTAGTGGGGATTTCATATATCCTCTTTTATGTGTGCATGATTGACAATGAATGCCTAATTTATAATTTGACACGACTATACTTTAGTTAAAGATCGTCAACAAAAGTGTATCCTACTTAGACATCTTCTTCATACAGGAAAACTGAAAGGGATAGCTCATTCATTACGATAGGCATGCCTCTATCTCTTCTACTTCCTCATTCCATACATCGGCATTCTTCCGTCTAAATCACCTTCCCAAGCCACCACATCTCTCTCTACCCAGCCTCTCAACAACAATTTCTTTGGCCCATCCCACTAACCTTTGAGACAAAGGTGATCCTTATCTCAAGTTCTCAAAATGACCTGCTGCAATGTCTGTTTTCTACCTAGAAGAATGTCCATATTTCCTACATTTAGTCGCCACTCACCACTCGATCTTCATACACTATAGATTGTGTGCATCACAATAATGCAGAGGCCAGGGGTTTTATCCTCCTCTAGAAAACACTATGGACAAGGCACTCCACCCAAGTTCGGGGCTTAGGCATGCAGTCGTGTAGTCTTCCCACCCACGTTCAATTCCTAGAATTGTACCATTATGCATAGCCCCCCCTACCGTCATTATTTTTTCACAAGGACCAGGCTTGATGTGTGGTGATGAAACACGTGAACTATTGCACCCACCAAAATAAAAATCTGGGCACTCATATTTAGAACGTCATGTGCATCTCTGATTGGTGCAGACACCAAGAGAAGTGAAATTCTCAAAATTAAGGAACTGACTGGTTAGGGTTCATGCTAAATTTAAGGTGCATTTTCAAGTGAGAGTGTGTGTCATACTATGGGTAATTTGGAATTTCCATGATGATTGGTTTTTTTAACATAACAACACTTCTACTTTTTTTACAACTTATCTTTCAAGCTGGTGCTATGCAACGTGCGGAGGCGCCGACCTCCGGGTGCAGCCTTTGGAAAACAGTATCATGAAAAAACATCCAGTTAGTTTGGATAAGGGCGCTGCTACGCGTCTGCCGACAGATGATTCTAAAATATCCGCCACATCAATGACCGTTGGATCCTCACGCTGTTAGCCGTCTGATGTAGTGCCCGCCCCCCGCATGCCCCCTCATTAGTTCCTGCAACAAGCGCGTTGTTGCAGAAACAAACAACCTTGCCCCTTGCCCCGACAGAGCTGCGCCCAGCACGGCGCCACCCCAACCCGCCCATGTTCCTGCAACAAGACCCATGTTGCAAAACTTGCATTTCAAGATAACCTTTGTTGCAAGACCATCTCCGACCTCTTCTCTATATTCCTGCAACAAGACCCTTGTTGCAAGAATTTCAACAACATCTCCGGCCTCTTCTCTGTATTCCTGTAACAAGACCCTTGTTACAAAACTTACATTTCAAGATAACCTTTGTTGCAAGACCATCTTCGACCTCTTCTCTGTATTCCCGCAACAAGACCCTTGTTGCAAAAATTTCAACAACATCTCCGGCCTCTTCTTTGTATTCCTCTTGTTGCAAAAAAAATTGCAGCCAAGGTGATGTTGTGGTAGAAGCTTTGTGTCAGCCGATTGAGCCAAAAAGCTTCAGCACGGTTCGGCCTTGGACGAGCAGTCCAATATGCTCTCAAACATCTTGGCGACGACCTCGGCGATCTCGCCACCAGCTAGCTGGATCGCCAGAAGCAAGACAACGAGCAGCTGCGTCACCAAGGACCGCTCCTTGGCCATCTTCCTCAATGCCGCCGCCGAACAGTCGTCGTCGCAGACAAGCCTGGACGAGCTGTTGCTTTTCTTGATGTGCTCCTCTAGTGGCCACCACGACGCAGGGGTTAGCCAGATGCGGAGGGACGCCGAGCGGCGACAAGGGGTGCAGCTCGCCGGCGAAGCGCGTGCGGGCGGACGGCGCTGGCCAGGTTGTTAACTCAAAGTGAGTTTTGGCTACGGGCGAGAAAAGTGTGGAGGTGTTTCGCTCGTGATAAGGATATCAGTGGAGTGAAGGACCACGTGATGCGTGTCAATCGCTGAAGGAGGCGGAAGCGGCGTGGTTATCAGCCGGTTGAAGCTAATCGTCCCTTTGGATAAGGATCCTGTAATAAGTTATCGGTGGACTATGGTTGGACTTTCACCTTCCTTGTGTTTTTTATTGAATGGCTGCTACTACTACATTTTAATAAAGAATTATTGTGTGATAAGGTTATCACTCTTTTGCAATAAAAAAATAAGACACTCCACAACTCTTGCCCCTACCTGTATCCTCTACGTCCTATCTGTTGCGACCCTAGCTTGCTTTGCAGCTTTCACGCAATAAATGATGTGTACTGCACTTCGTCGTATAAGGCTGGTCGTAATGAGAGTATCATAGATAGTATTATGGACGTCAACTAAGTAATTTTGATGAGGTGACATAGAATTAAATGAAGAAAGAGAGGCTTAAGTATCATATCATGATACCATATCATATTAAATGATGTGCTACTTTGTGTCATGCATGACAATAAATGTAGTCCTATATGATACCAACATATGATATCATGCATTACGGATGTAGTATCATACACTAGTATCATATGCATGATACTAGTATATGATACTTCCCATTACAACCAACCTAATATAATACTCTTTCAGTTTCATTAGTGTCAAAGAACGTCTTTTTTTTATGTGACAAAGGGAGTATCGTTTTTCATACTAGTGTATTTGTGCAAATCAAAGGAGGAGGCTTGATGGGAAAGCAAGGGATGAGAGGAAGGTGCGAGAGATGGATCAGCGTGGAGACGTGGGAAGAGTGAAACATATGCATGGCCACACGTCGGAGGTGACGTGGCATCTAGGTGGCCACTGACGCAACCACATCGCTCCTGACACATGCCTAAACTGAATCGAATGTCCGGTGAGATGAGAGGTAGAACGCACCAAAGAGGAAGGCGTCGAGGCTGCCGTTGGGCAAGTACTCGTAGACGAGCAGCTTCTCGTCGCGCTCGGCGCACCAGCCTAGCAGCCGCACCAGGTTGCGGTGCTGCAGCTTGGCGATCAGCTCCACCTCGTTCCGGAACTCCGCCGCGCCCTGCCGCGACCGCGCCGACAGCCGCTTCACTGCGATCTCCGCGCCGCACGCCATGACGCCCTTCGATCCGGCAGAAGTTCGGATTAGTGGAGGAACGCCGATGAGGAACGCAAGGTATTCATAATATATTACTAATCAGTAGTGGAGTGCTTGATCTTACTCTGTATACCGGGCCGAAGCCGCCCTCGCCGAGCTTGTTGGCCCTGGCGAAGTTGCCGGTGGCGGCGTCGATGGAGGCCAGGTCCATGAGCGGCAGCTCCGAGATCGACCTAGACAGCGGCGTCATGTTCTCGTTCTGCGTTCTCCTGACGGCTGAAGCGAATTCCTCGGATCAGCACAGGCTTGGCTTCGCTCTACGTCAGTAGTTAACAATGGAAGTGCTGGGTCGATCACGTACCGTTGCGCTTCCGCCAGCGCCAGCAGTAGACGCAGTAGAGGAGCGTGCAGAAGATGACCACCACCAGAACGGACACCATGATCTTCACGGAGTTCGGGCTGGAGCCATGCGCCGCAGCTGCAACAAGCCAACAACACGACATCAACACGGCGTGCAGCACAACAGCTCAGTCTTCGGCTCTTCGTCGTTCGTCACCTAGTAGCACGCACGCATGTTCAAGTGAAAAAACGAGGACAGAGTGTTTGTCAACTCACCTGCCTCGTCGCCCGCCAGCGGCGCGGACGCTGACGTGCCCAGCAGCCGGCGGTGGCTCACGAGTCGGTGCGGTGGCCTCAACATATTGTACGACTACTCCGGCGGAACGTCCGAGCTAGCTAGCTAGCTCGCTAGCTTTCTGAATGGATGGAGCAAGTGTAAGCTTGTGATTACTGATGGGCGCAAATGGATGGACGGAGGAGGAAGTCAACGACGTTAGTGTGTTATATGGGGTGCAGGGTGGAACTGATTGATGGTTCGCTGCCGCCTGCTAAAAGTAGCATGGTTACCGAACGTGTCCACCCGCTGGCGCCGGATGTATGCCTTCTGTCCTTTCGGCACGGGCAGTTGATGGATACATTTGACAGCTGAGCTCCTATGCTGCTAGATATAAGAGCATCTCTAACCCGTACCCTATAAAGCTTTAGAGGAAAAAAAAGTTTTCTCCTTTAAACCGCACCTAGCCGATTCCTTATAGGAGCACTCGTTAGAGAAGTAAAAAAAATTACTCCACATTCACCCAACTCTTAAATATACTCGGTCGCCCACAGATAGAGTAAAAAAATTCCCCTCCCACACTTGACCTCATCCATTCCGCCACCCGCTGCTGTAGTAAAAAAAATCTCCTTCCACCGCTCGACCTCAGCAATTCCGCTGCCACCCAAGCACAATGCATCCCCACCGACATGCGCCCACATCCACTCCAACGTCATCCCACCACCCAAATGGCCGGATCCCGATTAGAAGCGCCGATCCACTGTGATGTCACCCCACTGGCAGGACGTAGCACCACAAGACAATGGTGCATTGTGTGGTATTTAGAGGCTGTTTGGTTTTACGACTAGCATTGTCATATTTTATCATACATTTTTACCAAATTTGTCTTAGGTTAGTTAATCAAAATGGGGGGCTGTTTGGTTTGTGACTAACTTCGCCAAAGATTGCCACAACTAAGGTTAGGCAAGTTTGACCAACTTAGGTGAGTGTTTGGTTCAAGCCACACCTTATGCAAGCCACACTTGGGCCCCACATGACATACACACAAAACGTGTGGCAAGATTCCCTTAGGCTTGCCAACTTGTGGCTCTCATTTTGATGAACTAACTTAAGGCAAGTTTGGCAAAAATGTGTGGCAAAGTATAGCAATGCTAGTCCTAGAACCAAACAGCCCCTCAACACTTTTTGTGTGTATGCCATGTGAGGCCTAAGTGTGGCTTGCCTAAAGTGTAGCTTGAACCAAACACTCATCTAAGTTGGTCAAACTTGCCTAACCTTAGGTGTGGCAATCTTTGACGAAGTTGGCAGACCCTCCTAAGCTTTGGCTAGGCACTGGAACACCATGTACTGACAAGGACAGAGACATTTTTGCGGCTGCCACCATGGTTCGCATCGGAGACGGTTGCATTGCGAGCTTCTGGAACTCCCCTTGGCTGGATGGAATCAGGCCGAAAGACATTGCACCCGCTCTCTACGACATCTCTAAGGAAAAGACGTGCACAGTTCAAAAGGCACTCCTGAACAATTTCTGGGTCAGCCAAATAAACACCCAACATGGCCTATCCTTGGGGCACATCCAGGAGTTTGCCCTTCTTTAGGAAAGGGTGTCTGGGATCAACCTGGTTGCGGATGTCTGTGATACTATCATATGGAAGCTCACTACAAGTGGCGAGTATTCCGCTTCTTCGGCCTACATGGCGCAGTTTGAGGGCCATCTCAGGAGCAACATGAACATGTCCGTTTGGAAAGCCTGGGCTCCTCCCAAGTGCAAGTTTTTTGCTTGGCTCGTCATCCAAAATCGTGTTTGGACTGCGGACAGGCTGCAGCGTCGGGGCTGGCCCAATTGTGGGCTTTGCCCTTTATGCAAGCAAGTTGCTGAATCTGCATCACACCTCCTATTCCAATGCAGATTTTCCCAACGTGTTTGGGCTAATGTGGCTTCATGGATCGGCATAAACAGTGCTGTAGTTGCAGGCTGGCGTCACGAAATTTCTGTAAAGGAATGGTGGTTCAAGACTATCCTAGATAGGGGCCCCCCGAGGAAGGCTCTGGCCTTCATGCTCATGCTTGTTTCCTGGGAACTCTGGAATGAGCGCGATGCAAGAGTTTTTAGGAATGTCGCTACCACGGTGACCATGATCACTGCTAGGATAAAGGAGGAGGCTCGTATTTGGGCGCTTGCAGGCGCTAGGCACCTCTGTAATGTAATGCCGCGAGAGTAGACTTCTTTCCCCCGCCTGGCGGGTTCCTGTTAAAACTTCTATCTTAATCAATGAAAATGGCAAATATTTTGCCTTGCTTCAAAAAAAAGTCACAAACCAAACAACCCCTTAGATTTTTTTTTCATTTTCTTTGAGTAGTAAAAATTAAGACAACATCTAGTTTGAAAATACATTTGGCTATTTCTATATTTGATCATGGTTAGATTTCTAGATGGCGCGTCCGACTGACATACTGCTTCCTCCTCCAATCTCTCAAAGGTCCACCATCGTCTCTCCAATTTGTACTCCTTTATTAGAGCATCTTCAACAGTGGCTCGCGCGTGGGGTAAAAGACGATTTTAATGTGCGTGGGGAGGTTTCGTGCGCTCCAGCGGCGGCGGGAAATTCAGGCGTGCGGGAAGCGCGCAAAAAAGCGGCCGGGCGCGCGCTAATTTTGGCGCGCTTATAAAATGCAGCGTCTGCCACACGCCCTCCCATCGCTCTCCACCTCGCCATGCGTCCTCTGCCGCTCTCTTTCCGCTCCCTCTGCCGCTTTCTCGCCTCGCCACCACGGCGCCACTATGTTGTCGCACCGCCGGGAGTTTCGGGTACCGCGGCGTCCTAGCGCGCCCCTCCAGCGTCTTCTCCGCCGAGATTTGGTCCGGCGACATGCGCCTCGGCCTCGGCACCTTCGACACCGCCCACGAGGTCACTCACGCGTACGACTCGACGGCGTGGTGCCTTCGGCGATCCCGTAGGGACATGAACTTCCTGGAGGTGCCGACGCAGGAGCTGGCGCCTCCCCCGCGACTTATCACTGACGAGGATCGTCGCGAAAATCGGAGGCGCCAACGCCGTCTCAGCCCCGCCGAGATGGACGAGGAAGCCATGAAACTGCGGTGCCAAGGCTTCCCGCAGGACGTCATCAATGATCGCCAGTTCTTCGTGCAAAGGAAGGCGGAGAGGGGGGAGAGGAGGGCGGAGCGAGCCGCCTATCGCAATGACACGCGTACGCGGAAGGCGGCCCCTCAATTCAACATCGACCTAGGAGTAGCATCGTCCTGGGACTCCAACGACGATCAGTACCTTGACGCCTTCATTGAGACGTCGGAGGAGGATATCACCGAGGCGGAGTCGGCGTCGGAGTCGGAGGAGGAAGACGACGAGGAGTAGTTTTTCATCTATCGCTTTATTATTTATCGTAGAAGGAGGCCATGAACTATCTATGTATCGTTTTATCTATCATTCATCTATCTATGTACTATCTATTTATCTTTTTATCTATATTATTGTCATGCCTACGCCTGCGTTGGCGGACAACGAGTCGCCTGGCTCAGAAGATCCAGGCGAGAGAGCTCTGTGAGCTGGCGGGTGGGTCCTGGGACCATCTGTAAGCGTGTGGGTGTGTGTCCGGTATATAGGCTGGTCATGCCGTGTAGGAGAGTAGTGTTGATTAGTCTATGCAACTTCTCATCCTTTCTCTGTATTCTACTCACCTCGGTTCTTCCTCCTCACTTGTACCCTCCTCTCATCCCCCAAATTCCTGCTGTATCTTGGTGTTGCATAAATCTATGTTACGGGACACTACAATATGGTAATCAGAGCCTAGATCACTCCGCTCGCGAATCCAAAATCGACTCGTAAAATTCCATCGCAAAAGGTGCCTTGATTTGCTTCGGCGAATCGGCCCAAAATCCTGAGCGGGGTTGAGTTGATTTAGGAAGAGTCGCGACGGCGCCGTCGAAGCCCTCTGCCCAGACCGGTTTGATTTTGGATCGAATGGAGGGCCTTCAAAAATCGGTGGAGGGGATTTTGGCGAAATTTGATGTGATGACGACCGAGGTGAAGGCGATTGGGAAGGACGTCAGTGATTTGCGCCAGCAGATCAACGACTTCGGCGAGGATTTGGACGGTGTCAAGCGCCACCTCGGCGAATCGACCAAGTCTATGCCGTCGCTCGCGGCGCATGCCTCGGGACCTCCGCTCGTCATCCCCACCGCTAGCAAGACTCCGTTACTGGCCAACAGCGGCGGCGCTCCGCTACTGAATACACCACAACAGTCGCGTGCATATGTCGCTGCACCGCCCTCACTACAACACCAGGAGATGCCAGAGTATGATGGATACAGTGGATACACTGCTCGTCCTCCTCGCATGGATTTTCCTAAATTTCAAGGGGAGGCACCACAGTTGTGGATTGACATGTGCTTGACATATTTTGAGCTCTATAAGACACCAGCGCATCATTGAGTGAGCCATGCCAGTCTGCACTTGGAGGGGCATGCTGCAATGTGGTTCCAGGCGTTTAAACGCCGGCAGCGCCCGGTCTCATGGGATAATTTTTTAGCAGCTATTTTGGAGGAATTTGGTGCAGATGAGTATGACAGTCAGTTGTCCAAGTTACTGCAACTCAAACAAACAGGATCTGTTGCCGAGTACAAGCAACAATTTGAGACTGTCATGTACCATCTGACAGCTCTCGATCCTTCTCTGAACTCATGGTGGTTTGTCACCCAGTTCATGCTTGGACTGAGGGATGACATCAGGTGTGCCGTACGGTTGCAGGCGCCCTCCAGTGTCACGCGTGCGGCGTCTTTGGCCAGGATCCGGTAAGAAGAAGGAGAGACACACAGGCCTCGTGGGCGTCCTCCTGCTCCAACCAAGCACCCACCTACCTCAACAGTGCAGCCAACTATGACAACAACACCACGCACAGATTGGCCGCGTCGCACTGGTAATGATGATTTCAACCGTGAACGTCAGCTTCGTGATTTTCGTCGTGCTAATGGTCTTTGTTTCAAGTGTGGGGACAAATACAACAAAGAGCATCAGTGTCGTCGAACGGGGCAATTGTTGACCATCGAAGTGGGGGACTATGGGGAAGTT